GTTGGTTTGACGCAAAATTAAGACATAATAGGGGGTTCGGAAATTAGACGGCTCAAAAAAACAGAATTTGGAAATTAATTTTTTTTGCAAAACTAGCATATTGGACACGAAGCAAAAAGTTAAAAACATTTTTAGCTTGAAACAAACATTCAAAATACAAAAATAGAGTTAGTAATCTGTTTGCACATCAAATTATTTTTTTAAATGATTGAGAAAACGTTAATCAAAATATATAAAAACATTTTTGAAATGCATAATTTATACAAAAACGGCGTGTGAAAAAATGATTTGCATTGAAGAAAACTCGAATGAAAGTAGTTACTTGTAGGAAGCGAAAGTTATAAGTAATAACTTTAAAAATTTCACGAACGTTATTGATATAATTACGTCTAGTTTTCCATAGTTTAATTTAGTTTTTTTGGTCTCGTCTATTTTGTTAGGTGCCCACACAATATAATGTTTTTTAGATTTGTTTTCAGGGCATCAATATCTCTCTTTGAGATCATACAAAAAACTTGAATTAATTCCGCATAAAATCTGCATTTCAAACAAGCGCGCTGAATATACTGCTGGAGAAATGATTTACAACAATTGCTATTATACCCTGTTAATAACGCATAAAAATTTAATTTTGTGTATTCAAACTTGTCCGAGAAAAATCAAAAGCCAGCCTGAGAATTTGTTTGTGACCACCTAAAAAAGTTAATAACGCGTAAGTTTTCAAAATCTTTTTGAATATTAGTTGTCAAACCTTAGTGTTTTTTGTTTATTGATTAAAAAAATATTTCTTGATAAGGATTTTCTGACAGTTTTCAATGACCAACATAACAATTTTTGATGTGCTTTGCAATGGCATTGTTGTCTGAGTCGAATTTTCAAATTTACGTTTTGACCAAGGTTATGGCTGAACAAGATGTCATAACCTGACTAGAAATCCATACTTGGTGGAAACAAAAGCGATTTTGACCAAATTGATCAAAATATTCAAAAAAAACCTGGGCCCCGGCGTTTGAATTGTAAATTTTCCAAAATGTAACAAGGATAGCCGATTTTTGTGCAAGTAGAACAGAATGTTCCGGCAAAAATTTCGCACATTTTCTTTTGCAGTTTTTTGATTTTTTGAAAATTTTGATTCCAAAAAGGCGCTGAAATACTCAAAGTAAACAAAGATTACTTCAGTAAAACTAAGTTTAAACGTTTTGAAATAAACTATTGTGTAAGTTTTTAAGCAATTAAATTAACACCGCTCGCTCGCTTTATTCGCTCGAAATAAGACCAAAATCAAAAATTTCAAACCAGTTTTTCCCGACACTGAAAGAACTTTTTGGAAATGTGGTTGTTCGAATCACGACTAAAAAGCTTTGATTTGATATATCACTGAACCCAGCCTGAGGATTATTTGTTGTACTCAATTTTGCGTCGAAAAAAAGAGAAAAAATTAAAACACACCCATATACAAAATTGCTCCCTTTTTTCAATGGTCGGAACAATTATGTGTGCGCGTTTTCTTTCCTGCAGCGAGATACTAATGTTCAAAAAGCAATCAAAACTGAATTACTTCAAGCTTATTTGTCAAAAATGTTGATCTCACGACATCAATTAGAGGTAAATTGTCAATTTAACATTACTGGGGTTTCTATGAAGCAACTTTTTTTATTCGCCCTTCGAAGAAAGTGACGAACTTTTTTTTGCTCGGGTTCTTTTTACTCAAACCACTTTCCAAAAGATTTTTCCTCTCAGGGAAACGATCCCTGGATCTTCTAGGGTCCCGTTGGGTGCGGTGCGCACAAAACTATATGAATTTATAACGAATATACTTAAACTGCTCGTTTTAAAGTTCGATTTTGAAAATTTAACGCAAATTTTTTATGCGCTACGCTATTTATGCAGTTCCACAAAAGTGTTATAATTTGAATTGAGGCAATAAGCTAATTGGCCTTTATAATTTCATATATTTCATATAAAATTCAAACTTTAACACTTAGTGTTTGATTTTATCAGCCTAAAGTTTAGAGTTTGTGAATTTTTATCGAGCCAATAAGTATTCGAGACCAGATAAGGGCAGTCAGAACATTCAGGGCCTTAACGTGGTACGAGTAGTCTTGTTCTGTTTTGCATTAGCGTCGTGTATGAATAAGTGCCACACATACATAATTCAAATTATTGCAAAGCAAGTTTTTAATTGCAATTATTCAAATTATTGCAAAGCAAGTTTGCAAAGCAAGTTTTTAATATTTGATGTAAAAAGGCCTTTGCTTGGTTCTCTTATGAAAACATTTAGTTAAAATAAAATTAAATTTCCGGAGTTTTTTTTTCCAGATAGTTTTTTCTCTTCAGGAAACTTTAACAAATAACTTTGTAAATCTTACAAACAAACGTAGGAAAGATGAGGAGTTTGAAGCACTGAGTTCAATTTTTAACAAAAAGACGTCTTAACTTAGTCAAAAGGAAATTATGAAATGGATTTTCACGGTAAGAAACGCACAAGGAATGCAAACAA